TGCAAAGGTGATTGTGAATAGCGACAAAATGCTTAGAACTACATTTTGTAACGGACGCACTCGGGGATATGATGAGTTTATGCAGTCGGCCAATACACAGCTGCCTATAGTTAGTCTTAAGTCCGTTCAAAGGGCAAATATATGTATAAATTAATAAATTGAAATATCTTGAAGCGATTAAATAAAATGAAATTATGTTGGTTAATGTAAAATCAGGTTATAAAGGTAAATATGACAAATCAAGTTAGCTTTAGGCATATTAATAATCTCGATATGAATAATGATACAGTAGTATTTGTAGTTCCTGAGATTGTCATGTTTTAAATATGTCATCAGTTAACTATGAAGGCAGTATTTCTTCTATTGTCGTGCCTAGTAGAGAACATGGAAAATATCCTAAGGTGATATCCTCCTCAGTGTCCTCATACAGGCCATTGAAAATGATTCAGTTCCTGGGAATGGTTTATATACACCGTACAGGTTTCGCATTCATACAGCAGTCTTGGCAACGCAGTGCCTGTATAGACCTTAAGTTTTGTTTGCAAACTGACGCCTCTTTCTGCACACATATGCTCGTTGTATGCCAAAGGCCACACTTGTTTTAGAATTCTTGCATTTGTGTTATCATCGATTTGGACTGCACGCGATAGCGAACTGCCGAGATAGGTGAACTTGGTCACTGCCAGAAGGGTTTGGCCATTCAGGGTGATGGTATGCTCTTTGTAACCAAAAACAGTAATTTCCTATATATTTATTTTCGGCTGTAGTCTCCACAGATATGAAGAACTTTCCAGCATAGCGGGATACGATATCGATATCAATGTCTTAGTTGTTTCAATATAAAGCGCTTGGCGATATCGGCACCTTACTGGCAAAATGTCACTTGATAAGAACCATGCCGCGCCTCTTTAATTCGCAGTTTTGAGGCCAGTCATATAGATCATACCTTGAAATATATGCCGATAGCTGCATTTGGTTCATCTCACCAATTAAAGAAGCAATGATTAGCCGAAAAAATGCGAATGCATCGAACTATGTTTTTATTAGTTAAAAGGTCAATCGTACAATTAGTACCTTCAAAGAAATTGTCGAGATCGTACGAATAGGTCAGGATTTATTTATTGTTTCAAAGGAGTCTGCGGAGATAAAGAGACGTATTCGGGAAACAAAATGAAACATATTCTGTAAATTACAGGTAAGAAGTATTTCAGGCATATTTCGTTTTATTGAAAAATTCGAGAACGTATGGAAAGGTCAATATATGTATAAAAAATAATCATGTACAGCGATTACCTCACACTTATATAGACAAAGAAATGAGGATCGTCTGGCAATATGTTGAAATAGTCAAATATTATTTTAGTTACGTCAATGTTTTCTTTTTAATTTGTAACTCAACAATTGCAAAGATTTATTTAAACTTTGAACTAAACTGTTTCCAAGCTGTTTTATTATGAAATAAACACACATCAGGGATCATATTGCTTCAGTTTGCTTACATCTCTTCTTTCGCATTAACATTTTCTAAAATAAAATTTATTTTTTATACAAACAAAGTAAACGAAAAGAAAGAAATTAGCATAGAACTCAGGGTTCCACCGAGATTTGAACTCGGATCGCTGGATTCAAAGTCCAGAATGTTAACCATTACACCATGGAACCTGTGTAGTAGGTGCTGATGAGCTAGTTTTAAAAATTTTCTTCAGTAATAGTGATATCATAATGTGCAAGTTTCTTCAGTGCATAGACTCATCATCTTTAAAGTCAGATCTCCACTGATCTACACGAGCAGGACTCGTATCCTTGTTTAAAATTTACCGTCGTACATGTAATATATAATAACTATTATATAGTACATATACGAAGATAAATTGGAAGTAACTATACGAGTCCCTGTGTTCTACACCAAGATCTGACAGCGGTCATTTAGGGGTCATGATCTGGTGACATATGTTTTTAACATAATCACTACTTTTATCAGCGAACCAGATAAAGTCTTACACCTTAGATTTTGAGAGGCTGTGCGTTGTGTTAAAGAGTATCACCGTGGGCCGTAACGATTGCAGATTTCAAATTTATAAAATCCGCATTGCGATTGGCTGACTCAAAGGTCATCAGAACTTGACCCCTTAGCAGTCGCTCTCGGATCTTCACGTAAGACAGTGGAGATTGGAATTTAATCAGATTACCCCATGTTTGTATCTATCAGTATATATTTTACCTTATCTTATGTACACAGGAAGTGTAAAGGTGTAATAGTGACACGTTTCGAATTGTAATTACATAGACACTAAATATTGAAAGAACTGTAACACGTCTAAGAATATCCTCAGCCTATATTTATAAAGCTAACAAAGTACCTTCGTTGGTTACGGCATAAAGTATATTCTGATTAACTTTTGTAAAAAAAAAATATATCAAAGACAAAGAAATGAGGATCGTCCGGCAATATGTAGAAATAGTCAAACTTTTTTTTAGTTAAGAGATTGTTTTCTTTTAATTTGTAACTCAACAATTGCGAAGATTTGTTCATACTTTGAACTAATCTGTTTCCAAGCTGTTTTATTATGAAATAAACACACATCAGGGATCATATTGCTTCAGTTTGCTTACACCTCTTCTTTCGCATTAACATTTTCTGAAATAAAATTAAATTTTTATAAAAAATAGTACGGAAAGAAAGAAATTAACATAGAACTCAGGGTTTCACGGAGATTTGAACTCGGATCGCTGGATTCAAAGTCCAGAGTGCTACCCATTACAACATGGAGCCTGTGTAGTAGGTGCTGATGAGCTAGTTTTAAAAACTTTCTTCAGTAATAGAAATATTATAATGTGCAAGTTTCTTCAGTGCGTAGTCTCAACATCATTAAAATCAGATCTCCACTGATCTACACGAGCAGGACTCGTATCCTTGTTTACAATTTACCGTCGTACATGTAATATATAATAACTATTATATAGTACATATACGAAGATAAATTGGAGGTAACTATACGAGTCCCTGTGTTCTACACAAAGATCTGACAGCGGTCATTTAGGGGTCATGATCTGGCGACATATGTTTTTAACATAATCGCTATTTTTATCAGCGAACCAGATGAAGACTTACACCTTAGATTTTGAGAGGCTGTGCGGTGTGTTAAAGAGTATCACCGTGGGCCGTAACGATTGCAGATTTCAAATTTATAAAATCCGCATTGCGATTGGCTGATTCAAAGGTCATCAGAACATGACCCCTTAGCGGTCGCTCTCAGATCTTCACGTAAGACATTGGAGATTGGAATTTAATCAGATTACCCCAGGTTTGTATCTATCAGTATATATTTTACCTTATCTTATGTACACAGGAAGTGTAAATGTGTAATTGGAACACGTTACGAATTGTAATTACATAGACACTAAATATTGAAAGAAGTGTAACCCGTCTAAGAATATTCTCAGCCTATATTTATAAAGCTAACAAAGTATTTTCGTTGGTTACGGTATAAAGTATATTCTGATTAACTTTTATAAAAAATAATATCAACGACAAAGAAATGAGGATCGTCCGACAATATGTAGAAACAGTCAAACTTTATTTTAGTTACGGGATTGTTTTCTTTTTAATTTGTAACTCAACAATTGCGAAGATTTATTCAAAATTTGAACTAATCTGTTTCCAAGCTGTTTTATTATGAAATCAGCACATCAGGGATCATATTGCTTCAGTTTGCTTACATCTCTTCTTTCGCATAAACATTTTCTAAAATAAAATTAAATTTTTATACAAAAAAGTAAACGAAAAGAAAGAAATTAATATAGAACTCAAGGTTCCACCGAGATTTGAACTCGGATCGCTGGAATCAAAGTCCAGAGTGCTAATCATTACACCATGGAACCGGTGCTGCAGGTGTTGACGAGCCACATTTTAAAATATTCTCCAGTAATAGTGATATCATAACGTGCAAGTGTCTTCCGTGCATAGTCTCAACATCTTTAAAATCAGATCTCCACTGATCTACACGAGCAGGACTCTTATCCTTGTTTACAATTTACCGTCGTAAATGTAGTATAAAATAACTATTATATAGCACATATTGATAGATTGTAAGTTACCATACGAGCCCCTGTGATCTACATCAAAGTTTGAATAAATCTTCGCTATTGCTGAGTTACAAATTAAAAAGAAAACAATCTCGTAACTAAAATAAAGTTCGACTATTTCTACATATTGCCGGACGATCCTCATATCTTTGTCTTTGATATAATTTTATTTTACAAAAGTTAATCAGAATATACTTTATGCCGTAACCAACGAAGGTACTTTGTTAGCTTTATAAATATAGGCTGAGGATATTCTTAGACGGGTTACACTTTTTTCAATATTTAGTGTGTATGTAATTACAATTCGTAACGTGTCCCTATTACACATTTACATTTCCTGTGTGCATAAGATAATGTAAAATATATACTGATAGATACAAACCTGGGGTAATCTGATTAAATTCCAATCTCCAATGTCTTACGTGAAGATCCGAGAGCGACCACTAAGGGGTCATGTTCTGATGACCTTTGAATCAGCCAATCGCAATGCGGATTTTATAAATTTGAAATCTGCAATCGTTACGGCCTACGGTGATACTCTTTAACACAACGCACAGCTTCTCAAAATCTAAGGTGTAAGACTTCATCTGGTTCGCTAATAAAAGAAGTGATTATGTTAAAAACATATGTCACCAGATCATGACCCCTAAATGACCGCTGTCAGATCTTGGTGTAGGACACAGGGACTCGTACAGTTACTTCCAATTTATCTTCGTATATGTACTATATAATAATTATTATATATTACATGTACGACGGTAAATTTTAAACAAGGATACGAGTCCTGCTCGTGTAGATCAGTGGAGATCTGACTTTAAAGATGATGAGTCTATGCACTGAAGAAACTTGCACATTATGATATCACTATTACTGAAGAATATTTTTAAAACTAGCTCATCAGCACCTACTACACAGGTTCCATGGTGTAATGGTTAACATTCTGGACTTTGAATCCAGCGATCCGAGTTCAAATCTCGGTTGTGACATCAGACAGAAAGCACGTTTGATGGCCGCTCGGTAAACTTTCAAGTTTTCTTGCTTGAATTTTCTGTTTTTCTCTTTTAATTTAGTACAAGCATATTTATGAGATTATTTTGATTGAATTCATATATATATATGTGAGTAACTAATTTGTGTTTGTGGAAGATTTTTTCCACTACTTGAGAAACTGATTTTGTGAAAATGAACTCTAGTCCTTTTCGATCTGCACGTGAGGCACGGAGAGGTGACTTAAATTCCAATGTCACCTGTGAAATAGTTGACGATCAGCATAGTGTGTTGAATCATATGGATAGAAAGGCAGTATCTCGTAAGTTTGGAAAAGAATGTACAGTGGTAATTGACGTAAAAGATGTGAAGAAGATAAAGGCAAGTGAAATTATTAAAAGTGTGGAAGAATCAACCGGAGACATGTCAGTGTATGCAGTCGTACCCAAAGGGGCAAATTTATATGAAGTCACTCTTCCAAACAAGGAAGCAGCATATAATATCTTGCATGGAATTGATGTTGGCAGCGAACATTATGATTGTGCTCTCTTATATTCAGAAAATACTATTGTGTCTATACTTCATCTTCCGGCATACATCTCTGATGAAGAGATAAGTATGAAGCTAAAAGAATACGGAGTAGAAATCCTATCACCCATTCAACGTAGATACTATCCTGGGACTAGTGTGGCTGATGGGACCCGTTATACAAAATGTAAATTTCCACAGCAGGTAAAATCATTGCCTTACAGCATGAAGTTTCAAACTGTTAATGGTCCACAATATTTTAGAGTATTGCATGATAATCAAGTAAAAGTGTGTTCTCGATGTCTAGATCCGGGCCATGTTATGAAAGATTGCCCTGACTTTGTATGCTATAAGTGTGGAGAGCAGGGCCATGTAGCCAAGAACTGCACTAGACAAAGATGTGATAATTGTGGAAGTTTTCCTTTAATGTGTTCATGCAGAATATGTGACAAATGTCACAAAGATACACAAACATGTATGTGTCACAGAGATAACATTACAGACATTAACCCAGAGACTGAAGATGTTACGAGAGAAGAAAGACTAGAGTTACAAAGTGTAGAAGAAGATAAAGAAAAAGCTGAGAATAAAATTCAGGATAATGATAGTAGAGAAAGAGAAGAAAATGAAAACAACAGAGTTGAAATGACCAATGAGGAAATAGAATTTGAGGAAGAAGCAAACTACAATCTTAATACTAGTGATGAATCGGCGATAGATTCAGGTGATGACAGAATGGAAGATGATAAAAGATCAAACGATGCTACAAGAAGTAATGAAAATGGTATTAATCCAGAGAAATTCAAAGTTGTACAGAGGAGAAGGAGAAGGTTTAATCCAGTACCTAATCTGAAATTGAATAATATGAGAAGAAAACCCTCTAAATAATGTTCAATATTCATGGAAATGATTTTTTTTTAAAAAATCCAATTACTTTCAACAAACTCATCATTATAATGGCTTTAAATATTATATCTCTAAATGTAAATGGCTTGCGTGATTTGAATAAACTGAAGTCTGTTTTAGAAATATTTAAAGAGAAAAGAGGCCATATTTTATTATTGCAAGAAACCTTTTGGGATGATGAATTTGCTGAAAGTATTAGAGAGAATGAGATTTGGAATGGTGACATCTTTTATAGTAATGCAGATAATAGGAGGGCTGGTGTTGCTATTTTAGTAGTGAGAGATTTGAAAAATAGAGTGACACAAGAAATGTTTGAAAGGGGTAGAATTTTACATCTTAAAATAGATATTGATGATGGAGTAATTGATTTAATCAATATTTATGCTCCAAATGTTGTGCGAGAAAGGTATAACTTTTTCATGAGATTAAATACATATTTGCAACAGCATACTACTGATAGCACTATATTGGCTGGTGATTTTAATTCAGCTTTAGCTGGAATTGATCGACATAACAAAACTCTACATTTTAGTGATTTAGCTGTTCGAGAGCTTTATAAAATAATCTATGATAGAAATATTTCCGATCTATGGAGATTACGGAATCCTGGCTCTCGTATTTTCTCCAGAAAACAAGTTGTACTTGGAGAAATGAAGCAAAGTAGGATAGATTATTTTTTGATTTCCTCGAAATTGCACCCTTATGTGCAAAACATTTACTATACAGATACATCGTTTAGTGATCATTCATTCGTGTACCTTAAACTAAATACATGCAAAATAGAAACAGGGCCTGGTTTGTGGATATTAAATAACACCGTTCTTTGTGAGGAAGAATATGTAGAGAGAGTGAAATCAATTCTTGCCGAAGGAAAAAACGAAGAATTTTATTTCCGTGAACCACTAATTTGGTGGGATAATATAAAATAAAAAAAATTAAAAAATTCTCCCAAGTTTATTGTACAAGAAGAAATAAGGAAATATTGCAAGAGTATTTAAGATTGCAAAATAAATTGAAATCATTTTCAGAAAAAGTTGTTGATAAAAAATCATATAACATTAACAAATATGAAGAACTAAAACATCAGTTAAATGACTATGAAACTGAATTTTGTCGGGGTGCTATATTGAGATCAAAAGCGAAATGGGCAATTGAAAGCGATAGAAACACTAAATAATTTCTAAATCTTGAAAAAATCGCCACAAGAAAAATATAATCAGTGAATTGATTAACGATGACCACGTAATTATTTCAAATACAACTGAAATCTTAGATGAAATACATACGTATTATAGTCATTTATATTCTTCGACAAATGTTGATGAAACTTGTACAGATTCACTTTTAAATTTTGTAAATTGTTCTGTAACTGCTGAAGATAAAAATATGTGTGATGCTATAATAACAGTTGATGAAATAAATACAGCTATCAAAGGGATGGCTAAAAAAAAAGTCCGGGCCCAGACGGATTGACAGTGGTGTGGTATTGTACATTCTATATGACATTCTGTTACACATTTTTCAGAGTGTTAAGAATGACAAAGTTATCTCGAGATCAATGAGATTTGGGGTTATATCGCTTATTTTTAAAAACAAGGGAGATAATAAAAGGTTGAAAAATTGGCGCCCTATCAGTTTATTGAATGTTGATTATAAAATCTTAGCAAGGATTCTATCTACACGTCTAAAATTGGTATTACCTAAAATTATACATCTAACTCAAACATGTTGTATAGTTGGGAGAGATATCGCTGATACTATAGTCACTGTCAGAGATATTATAGATATGGTTGAGAGAGACAATCTTGAGGGATATATCTTAAAAATTGATCAAGAAAAAGCTTTTGACAGAGTTAACCACTCATATCTGATGTCTGTACTACGAAAGTTTGGATTCGGTGATAATTTTATTCAGTGGATAAAAATATTTTACAGTGATATTAAAAGCAGCGTTAAATGCAATGGACACCTAACGAAACCCTTTGTAATTAAAAATTCAGTCAGACAAGGTTGTCCTATATCGGCAATGTTATATGTATTAGCAGCAGAACCCTTAGGGCTCGCTATCAAAGCGAATCCTTGTATCAAAGGTATTCCACTCCCACTGTCTAGTAATACAAGTAAAATATTTCAACATGCAGATGATACAACCTTGACATTATCGGACAAAGAATCCATCGATCAATCTTTCAATGTGCTTGACTTGTATTGTAAAGGATCTGGTGCAAAAGTCAACAAGGAAAAAACAGAAATGTTATGTATTGGATCTGGTAAATTTTCTGAGGAATACTGCCAAAAATTACAAATTCAAATTTGTGATCAAGTCATCTTAATTTTAGGAGTTTATGTTGGAAAATGTGCAAAGTTATGCGAGCAGCTTAATTGGAATGATAGGATATCTAAAATTAAAAACTTATTACAACTATGGACACAGAGATATCTGACAGTACAAGGAAAAGTTACAGTAGTAAATACCTTATTAGTCTCTAGAATATGGTACATTGTGGCAGTTCAGCCTCTTCCTGATAAGATTGTTGATGAATTAAAACAATTATTTCTTAGATTTATTTGGTCAGGAAAGTCCCATTTAGTCAACTATTATACGCTAATTGGGAATAAGCGAAAAGGCGGACTACAGTTAACTGATATAAAGACGAAAATGTATGCATTCAGACTAAAATTTTTAAAAAGATACTTTGATACGAATTGTCATACTATGTGGAAAACTACCTTTGATTACTTTTTATCTACTGTTCTGAACATGAAGTTGACCAAAGATTTATTTCTCATGTCCTTAAATAAGCAACAATTGAATACCCTCCCTATATTTTACAGAGAAATATTTTATGCATGGGAAAAAATTAGAAATAATATTGACACAAATATTGATGTGAAGAATGTTTTTGAACAACCTCTTTTTTTAAATCCTAATATTACTTATGCTGGTAAAAAGTTATTTTTCGTAGAATTTATAAAAGCAGGAATTGTTCGTGTTCAGGACATTACATATGAGTTTATACCTGGCTTATTACCTTATAGAGCTATTCAAGAAATAATATACAAATCAAATCCTGAGATAAATGCCGAAAAGATAAAAAAGACTATAATTGCATACTAGAAAGTTTACCATTAAACTGGATATATATTCTTACAAAAGAGTCAAAACCTACTGAAACAAATAAGAATATATATCTCAAAGATGGTACTAAATTGTATGACCTATGTTCAAGCACAACACAAATATTTTACAAACTTTTGTCTACTTCCATTTTTCAAGAACCATCTTCGGTTTGCTTTTGGAGTAAGATGTTTAGTTTAGAAAAGCTAGACAACTGGAAATTAATTCACTTGCCTTTCAAAACCCCAGATTGTATGGAATTAGATTATAAAATAATGCACAATCGAATATTTACAAAAGAAAGACTGAAATATTATGGCAAAATTGATAATGACAAGTGTCCAGTCTGCCAGTTGGAAACAGAAGATTTATTTCATATGTTTTTAAAATGTCCTGAACTAAGTTCTTTTAAAAATTATATTGTATATATTGTAGAGATTCTTTTCAAAA